CTTCAATAGATGGATATAGATAATATGACAGAAACTGTACATTGTCCTGTTCTCTCAACTTAGTACAGTCTAGGCTAAAAGAGCGTCACACGGGTGAAAGGGACTCATAGCAGACAGCATGGTTTTACGGAGTTCACTTCTGGTGAGTTCTTGGGTAACACTTGCTTGTGAGGATCCGCAACTCTTTGGAAACTACCGCAGTGGTAAAGGAGGCCCAGGGACACACTTTCACCTCCTCCCCAGGCTCGAGGGGGATCCAGCTTGATCCCGAGAGCAGTTTCACTGCCACCCACTCTGCCTGCTTTGCCTTTCAACATCACAGGGTTACAGGAAGCCAAGCACGGACATGCCAGAACATTCCTGGCACTTTGTACATTTTGTTTCACACCCTGTGCCGAAAACAGTGAACAAACCTTGAGATCACAGATGATCTTTGTAATGACCAATAATTTTAGAGGCTCAGTTTTTGACTTCCTGCCTGCAGGAAGGAAAGGACAGTTGGAAGCAAGGAGAACAGGTGTTCCGCTGGACGGAATGATATCTTCTGCTTACTAAAATAAAAATCACTGCATCAACACTCCTAGTGGAAGTGAGTTCAAACCACAAGACTCAGTCTTTCCACTGCGGATCCAGCTTCAGAGAAATCAAATCTGTATTTCTTTTTTTTTTTTCCTACAAGGAAGTTCTTAAACCCAGCGTTGAAGTGCAGACTAAGGCACAGGGTTCTTTGAATCAGTAACGGACTAACCCAAGTGAAGCCTTTGGGTGGTTTGGAAATGTTCCCCTCCACATCCTTCCAGGTACCTGCAGTGCAATTGTGTGGCACATTCGCCAGAGGACATGGAAGGAATCAGGACTGCAGTACACCGGCCCCCGCTGAAGGGTAGGCGACTTTATACCCTCTTTCAATTTCCCCTTTGTCTTTCTCTCCAGCTCAGGCTCTGGCATTATTTCCTCCCAGTAGCTTAGTGTTGGCATAATGGCATTCTTTTTCTTTGCCAAGCTAGCTAGTTACCCTGCCCATCTGTTAGGTCTAATTCAGTCAAATGACACTTTGAAAGAGATGAAGGTTGAAATCATTGAAGGCGATGCCTCGGACCAGACAAATATGCCCAGTCCTCCCCAGCCTCTTTGTTCATGGCTCAAATCCTTCATAGAATGGAGAGTTTTGAGGGCACACAGGTTGGAAATGACCGGGAAAGCGTTGGCATCTGTAAGGTCCTCGCAAATACTTGGAAAGAGGCGTGGTCTTTTTTCCAATAGGCATAGTGAGATCAGTGGGTTCTTTAGTGTTTCTCTCTTACTTTGGGACCAAAAGGAGCTCTGGCTGTGGCCGTGACTGGGACGCAGCCTTGCGAGGGTAGGGGGGACCAAGGGAGGAAACCAAAGAGCTGCGCGAGTAGATTGTCCCGAGACACAGTACATGGTCCCCCCGGAATGTGGGTGGGAGAGGCAGCGTTCCCCTGGAGCGGGGGCCGTTATGGTACTTCATCTCTGCACGCCTGCCTTCTACGAGTAGGTGAGACCCCTTTATGTGCCAGATGTGGTGCTGAGAATGGAAGCGTTCATTCTCGGTACAAAGAAGAGAGAGCGGAGGCAGCAGAGGGGAGGGGAACCACCATCTCACCCCTGACCTACCGCCCCAGGTGTTCTGCATGCTGCGGGCTATCTTTGCTGCTCTTTAGCACTGCCGTGAAAAGGCCCTGTGGAAGTGACGTTTGTTTATGTGGCCCCTGCTCCCGGAAAAGCAAGAAAACATAAAGTAGTGCAGGAGAGATTTAAGAAGCAGAGCCTGAAATTTTTAAAGTCATAGTTACTATTTATAGCGAATGTTCTTAGCCTAAAAGCCGTTCCTAATTTTTATGCCTGTGAAATATTCAAACTATGGCAATGTTTATTTTTGTGTGTTTGTTTTGTTCCTTTCCTGTTTTGTTTTGTTTTTTTTTTTTCTTCTCTCCTTTTGGCCATGTTTATAAGAGCAAAAAAATCTCTTTCTCTCCACCTCCCCAACCTCAGGAAGAGCACTGTTAAGAGTTTTGAGTAGTTTTCTGGATTTGCAAATCTGTGTGTAGATCTACAATATTTTAAAACCAAAAGGCATGCATATTGTTATGCATCTGTATTGGTCTTTCCCCCTCTCTGTGTCCACATAAAGCATTTATTGATCTGTCTATCTACCTATCAGTCCGTCCATCTGTCCATCCATCCATCCGTCCATCCATCCATCGTCATGAGCATTCTGACAAGTGTTTGCAAAGGGAAGGTCGTATGCATACACAGAGAGGATCGCTGTGACCATACATAGATACAACTTGGAGTTAAGAGAATGATGCGCACAGGACCAAAAGCCACTTCGTCTGAGAAACCTTCTCTGATTCGCTTCGCTTTGATTTTTTAAAAATCCAGTGTTTTCCTCTGAATCACCTAATATGTTCAGTACGTTCAAACATTTGGCCCCTGCTGGTGAACATGCTCCTTTGTGTGTTTGCGTTTTACTCAAGCCCTTTCATTGCGAAGAGTGAGTCCCTTTTGTAAGGACACAGAGGAACTGGCGGGTTCGTGCCCGAGGCCCCAGGGAACCTGGTCTTCCTGGGACCCCTGGTTCTCCCGGTCCCTTCCCACGTCTCACTCTCCAGCTCCGTATAATCACTCTGCTCACACTTCTGTTCCTCTGTGTCTGGCTTCTGGTCACTCGTTCGTTCATTCACTCATCGTGTGCTTACTGGCTACCGATAAAACGCCAGGGACGGTCGCAGCACATCCGGTGTGGCTTGCTCTAATTCTAATCCAAACCATGCCCTCCTTTCACTCTCCTTACTGTTTCTCAGCCCAGTCCCTAAGGGTGAGATCCGATGGGCTTGGTTGTTACCAAGGCTTATGTTGATGGCTTGACACTCCTGGCCCAAGCACAACTGTTGCCTTTTAAACATTTGATGCACTTTTAGAGGAGGCCGACGGGGCTGGAGGGAGATGGTGGGTCAGGATTGCACGGCCCCAATCACATCCTCGGGGTGAGCTCCTGTGGGAACCGTGATGATCCACCCGTGGGAAGTGTCCACTAGACACCACGGCTCAGCCGGTCCTCCTGGGGTGGGTCTTCCAACCACGTCACTGACGTGCTTCTCCAAACCATTGCTCTTTCACTGTCTGCCATCCTCCCCTCTCCAAGAGCTTCATGGAATGTGACGGATTATTATACAGAAGCCTTCTAACATCACTTTTCCTATTTCCTGCTGTGGCACAGCAGTGAACCACTGACACCTACCTGCATATTTTTCCCATCAGAAATGTCGCCAGAGCCTCTGTCCACCTTGACTGTCCTTATCCTACCTTTCCCTCCCCTCGGCTCAGAGATCCTCCCATATGTTACTATGGCATTTGGCTTGTACTCTTGACCTTCGTCCCCTTTTGTTGTTTATAGGTTTATTTTTGTCATTGGGCTGTGAATAGTCTCAGGAACCTCTGTCATTATTGTTCATCTTCGCACCCTTCGATCTAGTAAAGAAAGCATGCACCGTGGGTACTCAAATATATATATATATATTTTTGTTTTGTTTTGTTTTTGTTGTTATTGTTTTATTTTTTTTGTTTTTTTGTTTGTTTTGTTTTTTTTTTTTTTTTTTTTTTTTTGGTGTTTTAAGACAGGGTCTCGCTATGTAGTTGAGGCTGACCTGGAACTCACTACGTAGCCCAGGCTGGTCTTGCACTCTCAGCGATCCTCCTGCCTCAGCCTCCCGAGTGCTGGGATTGCAGGCGTGTGCCACCACTCCCGGCTATTCAAATATATTTTTTGAAGAAAGGATTCATGAGCACAGTTGTTTTTTTAAATATCTGATTCTCTTTAAGAGTAGATACAGATAGCTCTTCATGCATTAATCCTGATAACAGGTTTCTAATACTGTCATTTCGGTTTCCTGACCAGTGGAATAGAAGCAACGTTAATCTGTGTTAGGTGGCAACTGAAAGGGGGGTTGCGTGCCCCTTCGGGTGCCCCTTCCCAATTATGTCACTCACGCACCAAGAGGTCCGGCAGGAGATCTTTATTGTAGGGAGGCGAGCAGGAGGCAGGAAGGCAGAGAGAGAGAGAGGGAGAGAGAGGAGGAAGAAGAAGCAGAAGGAGAGAGAGAACAAAGAAAGGAAGGTCCTTTTATCAGTTTGGGGTGGGCTATTGCTTATTTATGAGGAGTGAGCTACTTTTAACCTATCACAGGCCAGGTTGCTTTTATGGGCCCAGTCCTGCAGACACAGGTTTCAACTTTCCTGGACCACTGTGGCCTTGCAGGGGAGAGAAACCAGAGATAAGGGCATGAGGTCATTTTAGGAGCCAAGATGTACCAGGAGAATGCAGCGTCACAGTGTACTTTAACATGATCAATTCCCTAACAGCAACCAGTGTGCATTAACGGATAAATATGGTGAGCATCAGGCACGATATCAGGAACTTGACAAAGTGACCCCAAATTCCTGTTTTAAGCACTTTCAAGGAGCTTTCCAAAGATGAAGTCTCTGGGTTTGAATCCCCCTGTTTGCCTGAATTTGCTTGGACCTGAAAATAGAGGGTTAGATTACATCTCCTTTTGCTCTTTAACTCTCAAATTATATTATTCCAACAGTTCTGTTTAAGAAAAGTTGAATATTATATAAATGCTTTCGTGCTAAAATTAGCAAGAAACACTACATTTAAAAATCCTCTTCTTTTTTTTTTGTACCAGGGATTGAACTCAGATCCTTGTGCTTGCAAGGCAGTCAGCAGCACCACTGAGCTAAATCCCTGGCCCAAAAGTCTCTTTTTAAAAAAAAGTATTCCAAGACAAACTTTGGAGTTCCTTTGATCCCCCATAACGGATGAACAAACCCATCACGACAGCGACCACTTGCACAGTGGCCCTGTTTCTTTAAGGGGCTGTGGTTGTTAAGTTAGAAGATCATTGGACCATGTGAGGTCAATAAAAGAGTAAAATCACTGGTTAGTGATTCCAGGGCGAGGAACCAGCACGGTGTTGAGTAACTGTGTGCCTCTGTGCTGCGCCCAACCAGAGGGGAGAGTGCTGGATCCCAGGCAGCTGGCTGTTCCTCAGGATGATTTCTGGAAAAATAATTAAGCTCGTGGTTTTTGAGCTTCTTGAGTTTGCTGCTTTCTCCATCCCCACACTTGTGATTATGGAACAGTTTGCCACTGCCTACCACAGGGCAAGGAATCTACCCGAGAGAACACATTATTGGCTGATCGTCTCCTGCTCTGTTGCCTATGTGGCTGTAGTGACTCTGTTGATCTGGGTTCCTATAAAAGTTCTTTTATACAGGAAACGTCATCTTTACAAAAAAATTACTGGATGGTAAGTAAAAGAAGTCCTTAGCAGGGAAATCCCTGTTATGCTTTCAGATAATTTCTAATGTGCTTTGTCACACACAGGTGTGCACATTACACACGTGTGAAGACGAGATGACTGGTGAGATTATAAGCACTGTTTCTGTATTGTAAAGCTATTATAATATCGTCTACATTTTTTATGATCATTTTTCTAAGCAGTAACAAATTACATGTGGGAGCCGAGTCCCTAAAATCCTGAGCCGTGAACATTGCTCCTGATTTCTCTGTACACCACACTGTGTAAGGTTACCGGGGTTAACTCACACAAACCCTAATAGTGAGGTTGTAATGCAGAAGTACAGGTGTAACACTGAAAGTAACACCTGCTTTAAATGTTGACATTGCATTTTGTAGCTCGGAGGCGCCATTTGATCATTAACCAGGTGAGTACTGCAAGCGATAGGTTTGTTTACTTAGATTTTAAGAAATACATCTTCACTATGTCGGTAAATTCTGTTGCCCGTGAGAAAATACTGTTTCAATGACATTAGAGATGAATTATTCTTTTTTTCTAGTACTGGGGATTGAACTGAGGACCTTGAGCTTGTAAGGCAGGTGTGGTGCCACTGAGTTAAATCTCTGGCCCAATACAGACACATTTTAAAGAAATCAAGTTTTTGTAGAAATCAAGCTTTAACACTGGTTTAACTAACAGTTTCACTAGACTGTCTTCATCTGTGTAAAGGTATTGAGAACAAATAATCCCTATTGCCAATGTATTTTTCCTTTTAGATCTTTAGATCTGATATCTTACTCATTGATAAATTCAAATTGCTTTCTCTTCTTTCCTTTCTTTTCTCCTCCTCCTCCTCCTCCTCCTCCTCCATCTTCTTTTTTTTCCAGAACTGGGCCTTGAACCCAAGGTGGTGACACTGAGCTACACCCCCAGCCCCTTTTGTATTTTTTATTTTGAAACCGAGTCTGAGTTGCTAAATTGGCCGGGCAAGGCTTGAACTTGTGATCCTCCTGCCTTAGCCTCCCAGAGTGCTGGGATTACAGATGTACTCCACCACTCCCGGCTAAACTTTTTTGCATAGTGATCTTTTTACTTTAAAGTTGAACAATATAAGAAGTTGAGAACTTAAACATAAGAAAAGACAGAAATGTATGAATAATACGTAAAGAAAATGGTTAGTTGGGCTGGGGATTTAGCTCAGTGGTTCCGCCACCTGCCTTGTAAACACAAGGTCCCGAGTTCAATTCCCGGTACCAATAAATAAATAAATAAATAGATAAAAGATAAAATAAAGTTAGAAACCTCTTTGGGAGACCAAGTCTGTAAGTACAGATGGAGTTTGTGAAGAACACTTTAGGCACCAAGGTTAGATGTGATCCCCTGAAACTTTCCTGTTCTCCAAGGGTGGTGCTCTAATGTGTCCACAAGTAAACATTTTGTAGTTGGAAATGCTTTATTAGTGGGGAATAGGGAAACTGCCAATCTTGACTAGATCCCTGGGGTCACCTATGGTATAACTCTGACTTGTAATGGGCCCTCACCCTTGACCCCTGTAGGAACAACTCTTCCATTGGCCAAGACTGGCTGAACTAGAAATTGAGGGAATGATGGAAGGTCCAAATGACAGCAGAAGTAAACCAACAGGAAGCTGGCCTACTATATGCCAAAAGAGATCTTGGGTCTATTGGAGATTTTTTTTTCATTGGCTTACTACATCCCTAGGACTTTGACTGTGATTCCGGCCAAAATCTTTCCCATATCACTTATATTATTATTATTATTAAGCTATCATTGAGATTATTTATTACATGCAAAGAATTTCATACAGGATTTCATTTAATTCTATTCCACTTTATAGAATGATTTGCCTGCATGAAGTAGATCTTTTAAGGAACTGAGCACTGGTATTTCCAGGAGGAACATGATGATTTGAGAAGTTAACCAACTTGCTCAAAGTTAGTCAACTAGGGAGTGAAAGAACCAAACTTTGGACTTAGATCGCTCTCTCTCTCTACTTGATACTTCAAAACACTACTCTAGACAAGCCCCTTGAAGGACAAGGTCGCGATCTCCTGGGGCAACCAGGATCAAGGGTCTGTTACACTCCCTGGGGAATGTTACCATCTGGTGCTTTTCTCCGCCTGCAGATTGCATTCTGAACATCTAGGCTGGGCACCACCTTCGTGCTAAAGTAAAGTGTCTTCATTTGTCACCACAATTATGATCTCCAGTGATTCTTTTGGGGAGTCCTCCCCTAGCGTTTGGTTTCGGTTTGTGGGTGTGGCTGGTCATAAATATTTTAAATAGTTTCAGTCAATTGGCAGTTTTATCTATAATTTCAGTGAACTATGAAACTAACTCAGGGCCTCATTCGTGTGCTTATCACAGAGTTATCTTTTAGTGGCGTGAGGAGTAAGAAACTGAACACCACTAAACCTCAGTCTGGGAACTTGATACATTCTGGAGTCACTATTAAATGTGAACTTTATGACAACCCAGTAAAGTACAGGTTCTAATGTTTTCATGCTGTAGACAAAGAAACAGAAACTTAAAGCAGTGATTAACTTATTTTTCCCCATTAAGTTTATTGGTACATTTTAGGTATACAGTACAGTTACATTCACCATTGGGATCTTACACCTTTACGTGATGCATCTTGGTTCTTATTTTTTCCCTTTTCTCAGGCGGAAGCTCTTTAAAGAAGTTCTTAAAGCAGTGATTTAAGTGGTGGGCTTGGGATTTGTAAGCTCAGATCTGTTTGATTCCATGCAATTTTCTCTACCTCCTGTTATTTCTCCCTTAGTCTTTCTGCATTTGAATGCTAAGGATGTTTCAAGAAAAATACAACTCTTTTATGCTGTGAGGCTGCATTTCTCCCAAAGACATGTGTCTTGCTATGATTTCTAGATGATTCCCATATATCACTAGTTGGATGTTAAATATGGCGATATGCCAGGTGTCAAATCTTAATTGTTCAGTGAAGATGATACAGAAATCATTGCTGCTGTAGAAAGTGGGAATTGAGGAGAGGAATTAGATGGCCGTGGTGGCTCACACCTGTAACCCCAGCACTTTAGGCCCCCGAGGCTGGTCTTCGGAGAGAGAGGGAGCCATGGGCTGGTGCAGAGTTGTCTTGGGAACACAAGTAAGAAAGAGAAGCCTTGAGTTCGAATCCCAGCTTTGACACTTACACGAATTTCCTGAATTCTTTTAACTTCAGTTTTCCCATGAGCAACACAAGGACAATCTAGTGTCTTTCTTGAGCAGTGGTGTAAGAAACGGCACAACATCTTCCTAGGATAGTGGCTAGCAGGCAGTAAGCACCTAATGAATATCAGTATTGTCACCTGAGGCTGCATTGATTATTTTCACTTAAAATATGGTCTTGTTCTATCTTTGAAATGAGTCTCAGAAATGGTGCAGCCATGCTGATAAAATTGACAAAGCTGAACAAAAGCAGATGCTGGCAGTGATATTCCTTGATTTTGGAAGATGTTTTAGGTCTCCTTTACCTTTTGAAAATAACAAAGGCCAATACAGGGATATCATTAATATCTTCTAAAATGCTCCACATTTACACTGTGCTTTCACATCTGCTCCTCTCTGTGACCTGCGTGAGTGCTGAATGAAGTTGAGGAGCTCCGTGCGCAAAATACCGCAGTGTCTGTTCCAGTAAATGAGAGCAGGCCGATGGAGAACGTGTGAAACCACTGAGCTTCAAGGCCGGCCCGGCCGGGGAACGACTCTGTCTGGAGAAGACACACTGTGGCAGGGCAGTCGTGGAGGATCTGTGGGGCTCCCACAATGTCCTGGGGCCCAGAGCTGTGTCTCAGGGACTCCTCTGCGTCCTTCCGAGAACAGCTTCAGACGATGACATGCCGAGAAGCCGAGGCTCGGCCGACACTGAAAGATCCCAATATCTTGAGCTCCATTTTACTGGCTGGTCATCCATTATGTTGGCTAAGATCTTGCTGTTGGGCTGTACTAGGCAGTGGTTAACAGCGTAGAAAGTGCAGTCGTGGGAAACTTTGGCTCAGCGCCAGAGTGTCATTGTCATGCTCGGTGGCCGGCCCCCTCTGCTTCGTCCTACCCTCACCCCACAAGCCAGCAGAAATATACCTTTGCTTTTCCTTCTCTCGCCATAAGTGGCAAGTGCCCACATCCCACGGCTGCTGCTTCGTCTCTCCGCCCCAGGCTCCCTGTTCCTCAGGACCGCTCACCGCACCCAGTTAGGCCCGCCTTTCCAGGGCGCCCTACATTTGAGCTTCCGGTGCGGTTCCGTGAATGTCTGCAGATCGCTACCCAGTGTCAGACCTCCTCTGTGCTCCCTCCACCCGCGGGTGAGTGTGACCTGGCCAGGGCTCTGCCCAGTGCATTGTGACTTCCCCTCTCAGGTGTACTTTGGGCATGTTGTCCGCCACCAGAACCCACAGAAGAACTGGCCTTCATCCTGCAGTGAGGCGGGTCCTACCACCCTGCCTGTGCCACCTGGGCTTTGTCTTTCTGTCCTTAGCACGGGGTGTCGTACGTTCCTTTAGCACGCTGCAGGTGAATGAAGGAAGAGTTGAACTATTTTCACATGCATTCAATAGTTTGCTCATATCTCTGTTAAGTGTCATTATGTTGGTTTTAGTCTTCTTTCTAATAACTGAAATCTTTAGGATCCTGATACTGTCTGAAAGTTATCTCCTCTGGAATCTCCTACATGTCTTTTTTTTTTTTTTTTTTTTGGTAGATAGACTTTTGCTGTATAGTGTCGGCTAGTCTTGAACACACTATGTAGCCTTGAACTTGAGGCAGTCCTCCTGCCTCAGCCTCTTGCATCCTGGGATTGCAGATGTGCATCACTAAGCCCGGCAGAAATGTCTTAAATGTGACAGTATTACCAAAAAGTCTTCAGTTTCTTATTGATCCATTAGTCCTCTCTACGGGTTTGTTTCGACAGCTATAAATACACATGCCTGAATTTCTTTCCATTCCCCATTTAGCATTAAGTCAGTGCATTTATA